TCACAGCTGGGGAGGAGAAGGCTACTGGTGTCTAGTGGGTAGAGGCCAGGGAAGCTGCTGAACATCCTACAATGTACAGGACAGGTCCCACCACGGAAGAAGGATTATGTGGCCCCCAAACGTCAGTAGTGCCGAGCTTGAGAAGCCCCCATCATCCCTCCATTCCAGCCATTGTGGATTCTGTCTCCTCTTCTCTGAACAATCCCCTGTTCACATGAGCCTGTATCACAAAGCTTGGCCCTCATCAGAGACTCTCCTTACTCCTTCAAGATATACCATCATCTTTCCTCTGCACTCACGAGCTCTGTAAGAACAGAGTCTGTGTCATCCCCATAGTAACCAGCCCAGGAGGGTGCACATAATATGTGCTCAGTGAACCTGGACTTGCTGGTTGTTGGCTGTCTCCCTCTGGGGTTGGAAATCGCATGGTTGGGGAAACTTAATGTCTCTTTCTTTGTGTGTGTGTGTATGTGTTTGTGTGTGTGTACACGTGTCTGTACACAGCTGTGAGAGCAAAGGCCTGGTGGAACAACATGCAGGGACTAACAAGACAGATGTTGTCTGTGGTGAGTCCTGGAGAACGGGCCCCGGCAGCAGGCTAGGAAGGTGGGGAGCTGAGGGGAAGACTGGGGCACCTGGAAGCACCAGTGGGGAAAGAGGGAGGCGAGGCAAAGCAAGAGGAGGAGCAGTCTGGAACTGTGGCACCCAGCTCTGCCACTTATCTGTGGAGCCTGGGCAAGTTAGTCCCCGCCCCCCGAGCCTCAGTTTCTTCATCTGTGAAATGGGATACTACCACCTCCCTTAATAGGGTGGTGTAAGTACCCGGCATGGGTTCTGACACTTTGGAGGTGCTCCCTCAGTGCTATTCTGCTACCCTGCACGTTGAGGGCCAGCATGGTGTGACTCTGTTTCCTCTCAGGGCCGTAGTTTTTTTTTTTAGGCTGCACCACGCGGTTGCAGGATCTTAATTCCCCCACCGGGGATCAAACCCAGGCCACAGCAGTGAAAGCCCAGAATCCTAACCTCTAGGCCACCAGGGAACTCCCTCAGGGCCTCAGTTTTGATTTTAGAATGAGGAGGTTGGCATACAGCACAGGTCACAGACTCACATAATTACGGGGATTAGGCAGGATCATGTTAATGAGTGAAAAGATCAGGGGTAAGAAAAATACACTCTCTTCTTTTCCTTAAAATTCACTTGCCTCTTGGCAGGGCTGGGACTAGAGTGAGGTGAGAGGGGCACTTGCCTTGGGCACAGTATTTAAGGGCGTGCCAGAAAAATGCCGTAATCAAGATAACCATTTGATGCAAGATTAAAAAAATCAAAATTCATGCAAAAAATCCATAACGAACAGAATAGCAACGTTTTAAATAAAGACAGGATCCAACCCTGTATTTGTACAACCTTGTCTCCCTTGCCTCACCCTAATCCCATCCCTGGTTCCAATAAAACTTTACTTAAAAAAACAGGCAGCTGGCCTGTGGGCCAGACTTTGCTGATATGATTTTTTAAAACATGACATTAAAATAGGACTTATCTTGATTACTGAGTTTTTTAAGAAAATATTTATTTATTTCTTTGGCTGCACTGGATCCTGTGTTACGGCATACAGGATCTTTAGTTGAGGCATCCGGGACTTTTAGTTATGGCATGCGGGGTCTTTTAGTTGCAGCATGTAGGTTGGCGTGCAGGCTCTTAGTTGTGGCATGTGGGATCTTAGTTCCCTGACCAGGGATGGAACCCAGGCCCCCTGCATTGGGAGTGCAGAGTCTTAACCGCTGGACTACCAGGGAAGTTACCAGTTATTGAGTTTTTTTGGTGTCCCCTTAAATTTTGTCCTGAGGCAGTGCTTCACTAGCCTTACCCTAGTCCTTACCCTGTCTCTTGGTCTTTTTTTCATTTTCCCATTTAGAATAGAGACTTAGGCACAAGAAATACTTTCCCTTCTCCTCCATTCTTCTATAACAAAGGCAATGTTACAGACATAAATGATGCTGGGCCTTGGTATTGGGCAAAGAGTAGGGAGGGGTGGCAGTGTAGCGAGCCGGTAGAGACAACTATCACCACTCAGTTCTGGCCAGTGGGCGCCATGTGGGCTGCTGGCCCACTAGGGCTGGATCTTCCCAATTTGCAAGAGAAATCAGATATCCAGATTTTAAATACACAATCTCCCATTTAAAAATGTCGGCAAATATTAAAAAAAAGAAAAAAAATATGCCAGTCACACTAAAGACATCTGCTGGCCACATTTTACCAGGAGCCACCTGTTTGAAACTTCTGATATGGATGAGTTTAGACATTGAAGTCCAGCAAGGTGCAGCAGCTTCGGGAAGGGCGGTGGGGAGCCATCGCTGAAGTCTTGATCTCTCCAGGTTTCCAGAATCGGATGCGAGCCCTGGTGGTGATCCCCATCACGATGGTGATCCTGTTCACTGTCCTGTTGGTATCTGCCTGTATCAGTGAGTCCCCAGGTGGGGAGGTGATGGGGGAAGAGGCAGCAGAAGGTACAATTGACGGGTCACCTGTTTCCTGATCTGGCCTCAGTGACTCCCCATCCTATATGTTTTTCTCTCTCTCTAGGAAAGATGGCCAAGAAGCAGGAGACTAAGGTAGGTCACCCTGGGGAACCGGCTGAGTTTTGTCAGACTGGAAAGAAAGACTGATTCATTGTTGCCTATATGGCAGAAACATTGATTCAAGGTCTGTTCCCTCGCCCCCTCCCCTGTGCTCCAGGGCTCTTCCCCTTCTCTCCCTCAGCACCCGCCTTTTTCATCTCCTGAGCTCACCTTCCCACAGAGCTGCCCTAGCACCGCTGGCAAAGTCTGACATTTGCTCTTCTTTCCTGGCATTGGATATGTGGGGGAACCGCATCTTTGGGGCCTTGGTGTGGGATCCATGGGTGGGTGATGGAGGGACATTTCCTTAACCCCACTGGCTCCTACTGCGGAAGCTTCTTGACACCCTTGGTGTGGCCAGCAGGGGGCAGGACGCACCCATGGAATGAGCACTGACCCTCCGTTTGGGAAAGGGGAAGGGGTGAAGAGTGGAATCGCTTCCAAGGAAGGGCTGAGATGCTAGGGGTAACCCCAAGCCTTGTCTCCCCAGGCTCTGCACCCTAAGGCTGAAAGGCAGGATCCTGTGGAGACGATTGATCCAGAGGATTTTCTCGGCCCCCACTCCACCCCTCCAGTGCAGGAGACCTTACACTGGTGTCAGCCGGTCGCCCAGGAGGATGGCAAAGAAAGCCGCATCTCCGTGCAGGAGCGAGAGTGAAGCTGTGTGTGCCCAGGAGTGTGGTGGCACCGGAATGTGGGCACGTGGCTGGAGAGCCTGGGGCTGCTGCTGGTGAGGGCGACAGCCCCCCTCTGCCTGCACCCCTGCAGTCCAGAAACAGTTCACCTCGGGGAACCTTTCACCCCAGCCGTGGAGCCCATTCAGTCTCCCAACTTGATATCAAAGATGGTAACAAAACTTTGGGGAGGCCATACAAGGGTATCCACCAAACCTTCCAACCCAGCGGTTCGGTGCCAACAGGTGTAACGCGGTGGCTTCTGGGAGCCCAGGAGGCATATGCATAGATACACATCGCAGCACTGTTTGTGACAGTGAGCAACTGGAAGCTGCTTAACTGTCCATCAACAGGGGACTGGCTAAATAAAACTGTAATATATTTATGCAACAGGATCTTGAAAACACTGTCATGGGGGGAAAACAAAAGCAGGTTGTAGAATGGTGGGCATGGAAACTTTTTTTTAAAGCAAGTAACCCAAAACAATATATCTTCTACAGATATGTGTATAAACATAGTATATGTTATATATGTTGGTATGGCAGGGGGGTTCTGGAAGGACACACAGAACATGCACAGCTCAAAGAATTGTAATGTCTTGGTTGGGGAAGAAGGGTCCGGGGGAGGGTTGGTTAAAGAAAGATTTGACTCTCCCATAATGCTTCATTTTTTTTCCCCAAAAGGAGAGTGAATTCACAGACTGCTTATGTAATTAAAAAGTCATCAAACGTGTAAAAAGAAAAAAGGGAGCGGACACGCTGGGTGACATGAGCTGCTTCACATGCTGTCAGGCTCACAGAATGAGGGCACTTTCGAAGGATAAATAAGGACGTCCCCCAGGCTGCTGCCCTTCTAAGGTGGTTTCCACATGCACTCACGTTTGGCATCATGTTTGCAAAGGGCTTTCCCCATTTGATTCACATTCACAACAGTAGCCTTCGGGGCAGGCAGGGCCAGCATCCCTCCTTTCCTCCCTCCCTCTTTAACAGAGGTGGAAATGGAGGCCCAGAGTGGTGAAGTAATTTATCTATGGTCACACAGCCGTTCAGAGTGGTGCCCCTCAGAGCTCCCCACTCCTAGTCCTATGCTGCTTCTCCCAGCCCCACCTGCTCTCTCTGGAGCCTGCATCTGTAGCCCCTTCCCAGGGAGCTCCTGGGCCTTCTATCTCCTTTTGACCTCCCAACTGCTACAGGAGCTGCTGCTTCTCGGTCAGATGGTGTCCCCTTCCCCCTAAGCAGTATCTTAGGATAAAAATAAACCGTCCTGTTCTCTTTTCCTGCTGTGCCAACTGAGGGGGAGCCTAGCCAGGAGGAGCAGCAGATGGAGAGGGAACAGAGGGGAGGGCAGGGGAGGGGAGAGGGGAAGGTTGTAGGGCAAGAAGGGGAAGGAAGAGGATTGCAAAGCCCCAGCACAGAGGTTCCTGGTGAGGGTGAGGCCAGCCTGGTTTACCCCAGGGATCTCACCCCAACCCCGCCTTCGTGAGAAGCTGCTTTGGATTTCCCAACATGTCCTGCCGCCTGCAGGGTGAGCGTGGAGAGGGCTTGCCCCAGTGGAGGCGGTGAGGGCAGCTGAGAGCCAAGGGAGGGGCACCTGGCTTGGCAGGCTTCCCAGAAGAGAACCATTGGGAGGCACCAGGGGGAGACGTCTGCTTTAGAAAGCAGTGCAAAGTGGTGGTGGTGTGGAGTGGGGGGAGGGGAGCTCTAAGACCTCACCTTTATCCCCTGCCTAGAGTCTAAAATGCTAGTGTTACGTACTGTACATGACCGTATGGTGGAAGGAGACAAAAGACCCATCTCTGCCACCTATTATCTGTGTGGCTTTGGGTAGGTCACTTTCACCTTTTAGCGTCTCAGTTTGCTCATCTGGCGAATGGACACAATCTAACGGACAGACGCTGTGGGTGCTTCCTTCGTTCTCTCCTAGGCCCTTCGTTCTCAATCCTGAGCATGTATCAGAACAACCTATAAGACTTGTTAAAAGACAGATTGCTGGGCCCCACCTCCAGGGTTTCTGATTCAGTAGGTCTGGGATGGAGTCCAAGACTGTGCATTTCTACAAGTTTCCCAGGTGATGATGCTGGTCCAGGATCACACTTTGAGAACGACCACCCTTGGCATTCACATTTCTTGATAAGCAGTCGCTTTCCGATTGCAAGCACTTGGGATTGCTTACCTCGGGGCTTTCCTTGGTTTTATGTTATTTATTTGGTTGCGTTGGGTCTTACTTGCGGAAGGCGGGCTCCTTAGTTGCGGCTTGCTGGCTCCTTAGTCGTGGCGTGCGAGCTCCCAATTGCGGCATGCACGTGGGATCCAGTTCCTGGACCAGGGATCGAACCCGGCCCCCCTGCGTTGGGAGCGTGGAGTCCTAACCACTGTGCCACGAGGGAAGTCCCTCCTTGGTTTAAAAAAAATGCTTGGTGCAGGTGTAGGGCAGGTAAGATGTACCTGGGAGAGCTAACGCCCCCAAAACTCTCAACCAAATAGGAGTGAAAGTTGGAGGATACATGACCCGGCTTCCTTGCCCTTGGGAGGGACAAATCTGAGGTGTGTTCTATACTGTCTCCTAGGTTCCCCAGAGGGCTCGAGCCACAGATGCCCTCCATGGCTGTCTTCCCTTCCCTGTGTCATTCTCCACCACCCCACTGGTGCTTCCTGGGTTCAACTCCCCAGTAAACTACCTGCATTGTTTCCTTGTTGCAGAGTCTGCTTTTGGAGAAGTCCCCCCCCAAGAATCAGCAGAGGTCAAGCATGAGAAGGTATAATTTTGTATATCTTGGCATCCCCAGCAAAGAGAAGGGGTTGTTATTCCTGGCACCTGTAGCAAGTTCTGGGTTCTAAATGGAGCTCAGCCAGGAACCTTCTGTGTGACCTTGGGAAAGCTGCTCTCTGGTTCTGAGCTTTTTTTCCCCCAGATGTGATGAAGGGTTGGGATTCTACAAGTTCTAAGGATCTTGCCAATTCTAAAAATAAGGCGATCAGCCCACTGTAGTGTCTGCTCTGGCCTGTGGATGAATGGGTGGGTGTGAGGCTCACAATAGCCAGAAGGTGGCGCCAAAGTAATGCCCGAAGACTCTGGCGTCTGGCTTTCGCCAACTCTCATTTCCTCCCTCCACCGTCCATCCGCCTGAGCCTCCTGCGATCTCTACTAACTTCATCCGTTCCCCAGGTCTCCCTCTCCACTGCTTCCTTCTTCTTAACAAGCATCAGCTGCATTCCTAGTGTGGCCTCTCGCCGAGCTAGGGTTGTGCATGACAGCACTAAGAATGCACATGGACAGAGGGCTCGCTGCGCTAGGCACAGTCCTAAGAACTTCACATGCACTGTCTAAGTCCGTAGGACAACCCTGCATAAGGCACAGTCTCTTCTAACGCCCATTTTACAGATGGGGCTCAGAAGCTAAATGACTTGCTAAGGTCGGAAGAATCAGAGCTGGGATTTGGATCTAACTAGGTTGATCCAAAAACCTTTGCTTCTTACCCACTCAGCGAGTAAATCCGCGAAAGCCCACGGCAGGAGCAGCTCACCTCTAGGACAGCAGTTGTAGACTCAGCGGAGCGCACAGGAGCTGGAAAGTGAGGGAGGCCAGGTCAGGAGGAGTCAGGATGGCACAGACTCTGGCAAAGCGGCGAGGCTCTGCCCGTTTTGGTGGGACAGCATCTATGGATTGCTTCTAATGGTTGCCCTCCAGGGATGAGAGTTATGTATTGCTGGGGATCCAGATTTCTATGTGAAATCTCCCAATGTTTAAATGCTACCAATCCCAAAAATAAAAGGAAAAAAAAAAGAAAAAGAAAAGAAAAAACAACAACTCTGTGAGAACCCAAGAAAGCATGTCACAGAGGGTTGGAATTAAAAGAGACTGGGAATTTCATTGTGTCCGACACTTTTGTTTTCTATATGGGGAAACTGAGGCCCTGGGAGGGTCCAGAGCCAAGTTAGGCAACATGTCCTAGGCAGGTTGTCTCTTTTCTCTGCACCCCATCTGGGAGGCTGCAGAGAGGTCCTTAGGCTCCACCCTGTGACCCTGGTTAACTGGCTCTATTCAGCATTCTTTTTTTTTTTTTGCGGGGCATGTGGGATCTTAGTTCCCCAACCGGGGATTGAACCCACACCCCCTGCAGTGGAAGCACGGAATCTTAACCACTGGATCACCAGGGAAGTCCCCGGTTAACTGGGTCTAAAGCATTGAAACTCTAGGACCGAGGGGCGGGGGCTGAGCTGGGTGTAGATGTCCTCTTAATCCTATGACCCCCCCATCTCAGCCCCCCAGGCATGCACCCACATACTCTCCTCTTAAGCCTTTAGGGCCCTGTGGTCGATTCCTTGGGCAGCAGAAGTTATTAAAGACTCTGCCTGAAGGATTTCTCTCCCCCCGTGATTCTGGCACAGAAAATTACAAACCCACCGGCAGGGGTGGGGAGATAGTTTTAATTTGAAAAAAAAGGAAAAAACACCCATGCTGTGGTCCTGGAGTCTGGGGGATGGAGACGCTCATGGCGGGGGCATGTCCTCTGGGACGTGCAACGTTGCTGCTGCGGCTTCGTGTTGCTCAGTAAAATCAGTGAGCAGCTTTCGCCCAGACAGATGGGGCGGGGCGGCCGGGGTGCCCTGCTTCTCTACTCCAGTCCCCCCTCCCAGTCCCTGGGGGCTCTCTGCCTCTCTCCCGCTGACTGGCACGTCCCGCTGGGCCTTGGCGCCGAGCTAGTTCCCTGCCACCTCCTCGTTCCAAGACCCCCTCCCACCCTCTGCAGTCTCTGCCCCTCCCCCACCGACCACCTCCTTTCCCTTCTCCCAGCCCTCACGTCTCACCCTGGTTCTCTTTTGAAGAAGTACTATTGTTTGGGCTAATCACAAAAGTCACACCTGTGCGTTGCACTCCCTGTGCCCCCAATCCAAGCAACACACAGGAAAATCAGTCCCCCTGTAAGTCCTCCCCACACCCCAACCGAGAGCTACAGGTCCCTCCAGACTTGTTTTCCGTGCCAAAAATATTGTTTCCACTTGGGCTGTTATTACATACCCTGCTTTGTAAGCATCTTCTTTGCTTAGCTGTGTACGGCAGACATCTCTCCATGCCAATAAATGTAGATCGACAACGTGCTTTTTAATTGCTGCATAGGATTCCATTGTCCAGCTGGAGCCTTGATTCAAGTGAGGGCTCCGTATTGATGGACATCTAGGCGGCTTTTCTCTTTTGCTCTTCAGCCCCTTCCTGCTTCTACGGCGTCTCCCCCACCCCTCCACTTCCTCTTTCACTCTCCCTTCCTCTGCGGAGGGGTTGGGGGTCACTGGTGTTTAACACCCACTCCCCACCCCCCGCCCCGTGTCAGACATGTGCCACCTCATTAGTGAGCTGTCCCCTCAAGTGAGGCAGACAGGAGCCACAGTGGCAGCGAGAGGCCTAATTGAATGTAACTAATTATTCACTCCTTTAAATGGGCCTGGGAGGGACAGAATTACTCACTCTGAACTGGGGAGACAGGGAACTGGCCGGCTGGCAAACAAATCCTGGGGCCTGTGGAGCCAGCTCTCCTTGGAATACTAATTAGGCAGGAGTGCCAGGATCAAATCAGGAACCCAGCTGCCTCTCCCGTCCCCCTCCCATCCGGGAAGCCGGGGATCCGGAGGTGAAACAAATACCGCGAGTGAATCTAATTGCAGGCCCGATCCATCCTGGACCCTGGAAGGGCTACTATGGGGGCTGGGGGCTGGGGGACATGAAATGCTGAGCCTTCGGCCCTCGAGGAAGGCAGGGGGCTAGAGTTTCATGTGGGGAGAGGCAGGAGGGCCCAGCAGCGCCTGGAGGGATGTGCCGGGGTGAGGGTGGACAGCAAGAAACCTCAGTCCCACCTGGAGCTGTGGGGACCCAGCTGGCTCCCAGGAGCGTCCCCTTTGCTCCCAGGCTACCAGGGCCAGACGATGTGCTAAAGACCGATGGCCACAATCCTCACCGCAGCCCTCCTGGGTGGCAGGCTCCTTATCTAAGCTGAGGAACACTGAGGCTGGGAGAGGGGAAGTGAGTGATTCATCCCAGATCAGAGCCAGCTGGGGCCAAGCTGGGGCTCAGCCCTCTTTAGATACCAAGCTTGAGTTCCTAACACTGAGAATGACCCAAACCTCATTCCTGACAAATTAAAATGTCTGTGGGGTGGGGGTGGGATGGTAATAGTTCAGGTCTCGGTATTTTTTTAAGAGCTTCTCAGTGATTCAAAGATTCTACCAGGACTGAAAACCACTGGTTAGACCTTAGTTCCCTGTGAGTGTCTGCTCTGGGTGGTAGGGGGAGGTGAAGGAAGAAGACCTGAATGTGGCCCCAGGCGGCTCTATTCTGGGCAGCTCCTGCAGGTCTGAGGTGAGGCTATGGGGAGATGCAGAAAGGAGAGTGAAGGGGTGTGTGTGTGTGTGTGTGTGTGTGTGTGTGTGTAGTCATCATGATTCTTCCATTAATGTGCCAGGCACTTCTCACACATGATCTCATTTGATCCTCACAACAACCCTTTGAGGGGGTATAGTTATCCTTACAGCTGAACAAGGTGAGGCTCAGAAAGGTTGAGTAAGTGGCCCAAGGAAACACAGCGCAGCAGGTATCCCGAATCCCGTACTCCTTTCTTATGCGGCTTTGATTCTGCTATTGCATTTGGGATCTCTTCTCTAGCAGGTGTTAGTGTGGGTGTGCTACTATTCTCTCTCTGTGTGTATGCTTGTTAGATGTTTGTGTATGAGCGCGCTTTTCCCTCCCAAAAGGGGCTAGCTGTTCACAAGCCTCCCGTTCCTGCCCAGCACAAAGCCTCCTGCTGACCAGTGAGAGGAAGGAGGAGAGGGCACAGCCCCTGCTTCTTGTCCCCTTTCCCCCCAGCCAGCTCCAGTGCCCAATCAGGAGACAGCCTCCCCTCACGGCTGGGGGCTGGTGAGGGGCAGGGGAAGGTGGGTCATCCTGCCAGCCAAGTGACAAGCAGCCTTGTTTGGAACTAATGTGGAGAGAAAACCCTCAATAGTTCTAGGGCAGGGAAATTCCCCCATCTGGGCTTCCCTGGTGGCGCAGTGGTTGAGAATCTGCCTGCCAATGCAGGGGACACGGGTTTGAGCCCTGGTCTGGGAAGATCCTACATGCTGTGGAGCAACTGTGCCCGTGAGCCACAACTACTGAGCCTGCGCGTCTGGAGCATGTGCTCCGCAACAAGAGAGGCCACGATAGTGAGAGGCCCGCGCACCGCGATGAAGAGTGGCCCCCGCTTGGCGCAACTAGAGAAAGCCCTCGCACAGAAACGAAGACCCAACACAGCCAGAAAAATAAATAAATAAACAAATGTGGGGTTTAAAAAAAAAAAAAGAAAAGAATTTAAAATTAATCAATACAATCATAAATAGCATGTAGGTCAAAAAATAAAGCATAATTAAAATGAGAAAAATATTAAAAAAAATTCCCTTCCCCATGAATGTGCCGCCCCCTCTCCTGCCCCCAGAGAGGGTGGCAAGGAGAGATGGATGATAGCCAGGCACACTCACTCCTCTCCACCCACCCTCGCTAAGTGCAGGGGACTTCGTGGGGGCTTCACAGCGGGGCAGTACATTTATGAGCCCAACCCAGATTCCCCAGTCACCTCACTGGCTGATCCATCTTTCTGGAGTCAGGGATGAAATGAAATTATCGTGAAATAAATCTACAGATGATGAAGGCTCTGGCAGGGTGGAGGCAGCAAGGGTGCGAGGGGCAGAGGAAGCTGAGGCTCAGGTGGGGGGGCCGTGGCCACCCTCGCTTGGCTGAGACCCAGAGAGGGGATCCCGCTGACTTTCCTTCCCGTTGAAGCCTTTGGCTGGGGTGGGCAGCTCTGTTCCATCTCTGCTTCCAACTCCCTTTTGAAGTCCCTTGCCCAGCAAGACTCATACCCACGAGACTGGATGCAGGACCCTACCGCTATGAGGCCCTGAGTCACCGGTACTTCCAGACTCCCAGAGTCAGAGAGATAGGCAGGGCAACCCGAACAGGGCAGCTGGACTGGGGGAGGGGTTGGGTCCAGGGCGAGGGGTGGAGGCAACAGAATCAGCGCCAGGATCATAGTCCTGGGCGACGCTCCACCTGTTGTCTACCCGTAATCGTCTGCAGGGACCAATGAGAAGGGCCCTCGGAAGACCAGGTCCTTGGAGGCCCCCTGCTGTGTCAGGTGTTAACTCTTTAATTTCTGGGAATGAGGAGAGAGTCAGGGAAGGGATCCGTGTTGAGGGGTCTGCTTGGCGAGCTTGGGGCAGCACCTAGTTACCAGTATGTTTGGCAGTACAGTTGACCCTTGAACGATGTGGGGCTTGGGAGCGGCCACCCTCTATGCGGTGGGAAATCCACGTGTAACTACAGTTGGCCCCCTCCATACTGGCAATTCCGCATCCAAAGATTCAACCAGTCTCGGATCGTGTAGTAGCGTAGGATGCATCGATTGAAAAAAATCTGCGTATTAGTGGACCTGTGCAGTTCAAACCCGTGTTGTTCAAGGGTCAAGTGTGGTTCAGTATGTTCGCATCCCCTACAGCGGGATGGTGTGCTCCAGCTGAACGCCAGTCTTGGAGCAGAGCAAGGGTTTGAGGCAGCAGCTCCCCAAAGCCCCATGCTCCCTCTCTCTCCACCCTGGCTGGCAGTGTCTGGGTCCCCTCCCCAAAGACCCTGCATGACCGCTGGCCTTTAGGCCACTGAGCCAGGGGATGAGCCCAAGGCTGAAGGGCACGCAGGGACTCGTGCACGCAGGGAGCCTTCCTGCCTCCCCCAACTCGTACCTCACCCAGCTCTCAGGGGATCCCCCCCTGCACCCTGAGCGTTGAGCTGGAATTGGACGCAGC